CAATCCCGGTCTACCTCCTGCGCCCCACCCTCAGCAGAGGCGGCTGCTCCGCCCACCCCCATCACCACCCAAGAGTGGCCAGTGGTGTCCGCGCGGAAGAGCTGTGCAGCAGGTCCGCGCCAGGAGGGGCGCAGGACAGGTGGAGTCGCCGTTATCCCTGCCTCGGCCGCCAGGCGTCGCTACTGGCCTGGGAATGGAACAGCAGCCCGCGGATTGCAGACGCCTCGACCTCCTCAGGGGATGGGGGACTGGACAGCACTCAGGCAGCCTAGTGGGGGCCCGAGAAGGGGAGACTCGACTTCTCTGGAAGTGATTCCCACTATTCACTCTGGCCTCAATGTTCCTCAGTGGGGTGCAAAGGGACGTGAGCCCCCGAATAACGACCAGTGTGGCTGCCCCACCCAAAGGCAGGCACAGGGCCCCCAAAGAATCCTGGCGCCCTTGTCTCTACCCATCCTGCGCCCCTCCTTGCACGGGGAGCGGGAACTTGCACAGCAGGTCCTAGAGTGACCCGTCTCACAAATGAGGACCTGTGGGCTCCGTTTCGTGCCTCGAGCTGCATGAGCCCGGGTCCCCCTCGAGCCAAACCCATTGCCCCCGAGAGAGCTGTCTTCTTGGGAGCTCCCCGCGCGACACCTGGAAGTCTTGCTTGGATGAGTAAATGATGCGCCTATAACAGTGGGCGGCATTTATTGAGCACTTACTTTGTGCCAGGAGCAGATGCTATTATGAATCCCATGACGCAGAGGCACAGACGGGTGAGGACAGTTGCCCAAGACAAGAGGCAAATCCAGGACGGGGATCAGGAGATTTCGCTCCAGAGCCCAAATGACCAACAAGCCCAGGGTCGCGCACACCTTTCTATCTAGTCTTGAAGCGCCTGGTGGGCTCGGCAGGCGGCGCGAGCGCACGCTCTTTCCCCGAGTGCCCACCAGGGGGCGCGCGGAGCCCACGCGCTTGTACCCACCACGCCCGCGTCGCCTCTCCATCGCCCCTGGCGGAGCTGCCGCGGACCGCAGCGACCCGGGGCCAGCTGACAGGTGGCCGGGCAGGCGGCCACTGACTTGGTGCCAGGTGCTGGCTCCTCATCAGGTGCCCTGCAGTCTGGTGGCCTCGCTCAGGCCCTGTGTCCACCCCCTGGCCTCTCACCGCCCCCACCCCGTGCGGCACGCAGCTTCTGAGCAGAGCATGGCTCGGAAGCTGCAAAGCACCTGCTCCCAGCCGGGCGGCCTGGCTCGCTCCTGAGACCGCAGGAGACCCCTGTTCCCTGAGACCACCCGGAGGACCTCGGAGCCAGCCCCAGCCCATTTGACCCACTCTTTCAGAACCACTCCCCACTGCCGCCGATGGATGACCTTCCTGCTGAGTTCCCTGGGCTCACACCTGACCCTGCTTAAAACTCTCAAGCCGGGCGAGGTGGCACATGCTGGGAGCAGCACTTGGGAGGCTGAGGCAGGAGGATCACCGCAAGTTCGAGGCCAGGCTGGGATCACAGCGAGTTCAAGGCCAGGCTGGACTACATAGTGACAGCATAGAATAAAAACATGTACCAGTAGCCAGACCTCTAAAGCCCTGTGTCACCCAGCCCTGCCCTGCCCTCTCTGGGGGCCCTGTGTCCTCTCCAATGTCCCCACACTGAGCCTCCTCTGCTGTTGGGACACCGAGGTTTCCTGAATTCAGGGCCCCGAACCTGCTGGCCCCTGTGCCCCAGCCCCGCCCTGGGCCCCCCGCCTCCCCTCCTCCCTCTGCGCCACCCCGAGGCCCTTGCACCCGGCTTCCCGTGCGTGGTTGTTTCATCTCTGGCTCCCTCGCGACACGGATTCTCCGTGCTGCCCAGGGAGGCGGATTCCCCTTCACAGCCTCGCCCCACAGCCAGCCCGAGGCCGGACATAAAAGCGGGCGCCGAGCATTATTTGGGGAACAGATGGGCCTTTCATCGTCCTCAGAACCCTCCCCGGCTTCTTTCATCGCGGGCTCTGCCCGGAAGTCCCCCCCCCCCCGACGGCCCGCATCCCTCCTCTGTGCTCACAGCTCAGATGCCGCGCCCTCCTCTGCACAGGGTTTCCCTGCAGAGCCGCTTCAAACTGCAGACTGCCGGGCCGACGCGCCCCGACGTCACCGCCAGTGTGGCTGTCACCGTGTGCAGAGTGCACTCTGTGGTCCATCTTCCGCCCTGGAGCGGCCGGAGGGAACACGGTCGGGTCTGCACCAAAGCCAGGGGTCGCCTTTCTGTCCCTTCCTCGTCAGGGCTCTGGCCCTGGTGCGTGGCCGAGTCCATCCTCCCTGATGCTGCCCGAGCCCGGGCTTCTCGGTGTGGTGCAGAGCCACTTCCGTCTGCAGCCCCCCAGCCTGGGCTCTCTGGGATCTTTTGGGGTTCCCTGCCTCTGCCTCTGCCCACACTCAGGAGCCACTGTGTCCAGGGCATCCACCTGGTCCTGCCCAAGGGAAAAATAGCGGCCAGACTTGGGGTAGCTGCCCCCAGCTCGGTCTCCACAGGCCCCAGCGGACCATGCAGCCTGCCACCCACGCTGGCCTCCTTCCTTCGCCCTGCCTACATCAACAGCAGCCACCTTCTGACCGCTTCTCCCACACCCTAGATGTTCTCCAATACTAGGTTCTAGCGGGTCCCCTCCCCTTCTGGCTCCCTCAGGACTCCCCTCTTCCTAGTGCATTTCCCAAGAGGTTCTCGCTCCTGGTGAGACAGGGTCTCACAGTGTAGTTCAAGCTGGCCTTGAACTAACAGAGATCTTCCTGCCCCAGCCTCCCAAGTGCTGGGATTATAGGTGTGAGCTACCATGCCGGGCTCCAGCAGCTTTCTAAAGGTAAATCTGACTGTTGTCACTAGCTCCCAAACACCTTTCAGAGGGTCCCCAGAGACAAGGGTCTAAACCCCAGACTACACAGGAGCCAGCACTTCCACTGCGGGTTCCTCACCTTCTCCCCTCCTCTGAGCTCAAGGAACAGCAAGCAGGACCCACTTCCTGCCTCCACACCTGTGCCCACACAGTGCCCTGAAGAGGGGCACTTGCCTGTCGGACCCCACCCCTGCACGTCACCTCCCCCAGAAAGTCATCCCAGCCCTGCCCAGTCCTCCCTCCCCCCTGCATCCACAATGACTGGACCGAGGCTCTGCAGGCTCCAGCCTGGCCAGCCATAATCACCGATTTTCTCGGCTGCTCACAGTGACCATGCGATCCTAGAGGGCAGGGACAGAGCCCCGTTCATCTCTGACTCGAGGCCCTGGCCTGGTACCTGGCACCAAGCACAGGCTCGGCCAGTGGCTGATGGATGAATGCAGAGCCGAAACTTGAAGGAGGTAAGAGCCAGGATGACCAAGAGGGAGCGAAGGCGAGCCTGGCAGGAGGGGCAGCCGAGCCACTGTGTGGGAGGTGGCAGAGCTGGAAAGGCCGCGGCCACCCTCCCACGGCTGCCTGCCGGCCAGCGGCTACCCTCTGCCTGCATACTCTGTCTCATCTGGTTCTTACCCGGGCACATCAGGAAGCTGGCATCAGAGAACCAGAGTAACCTGCCCAAGGTCACACGGGCCGGAGTGGACTTGGGACTGTCTGGGACCTTGTGGAAGGGACAAGGAGTGGGCTGTGATGCCTGTGTCTAGTGAGCCCCGGCACCTCCTCGCAGCTGGACTGAAGGCTCCAAGGCCGGGTGTTTATTTACCTGTCCTTCCACCCCTGGCTTTGGGGGTCTCTGGCGGGACACACTCAGCCCCTCGCCACCATCCAGAGGGAGAGCTGCTGTGACCTGGGGGGGACCCGGGGCCCTGCCTGAGCGCCGCAGCCGGCCTCCTTCTGCGCACTTGGCCCAGACTGATCCCCGACTCCTCATCTGCATTCCCCGTGCGCCCGGCTGGCAGATGGCGGGGGAGGAGGCCGGTGTGAGCTGGGGGCTGCAGCCATGAACGGAGTGGACTCAAGGGGGCCACGGGGCACTGCGCACTGTGCCCCCTGTGTGGGGGCGACTCCAAATCCCTGATGCCTCTCATCCCCGCAGCCTCCAAGGGGGGCTCGGACCTGACCTTTTCTCTTTAAAGACTGCAGAGGCCTTGAATGCCAGGCAGGAGGCCCGGAGGGACAGAGGGTGGGCACCTGCCTCTGAGACCCTGGGTTCCCTTTTCCCTTCTTGTCCTGGAGGGGTGCTGAGCCCGGCTTGGGAGAGGACCCCTCTCAGCCTGGTGACCCTGTGTCACAGGAAGGGGGAGGAGTACAGGAAGGGGGACAACTCGGGAGGCCTCACCCACCCCTCTTCCCAACTCCTTGCCTCGCTCCCAGACCCCGGGCTGGGCCACAGCCCTGAACCCAGCCTGGCACCTACCAGGCTTCGCAGCCAAGGACTTGTGGGTAGTGCTTAGTGACAGACTGAGGTCAGAGGGCCCTCGCAGCCCTCAGAGTAGAGGGAGGGAGAAGGAAGGGTCCTGATAGCAAAAGGGAGCAGGCCAGACACTTGAGAGTTCTTCCCCCACACAGGGGCCGTGGCAGCGTCACTGGCTGCAGTGAGGGCCAGGCTCTGGCCCCTAGGGCAGGCTGTGAAAAGGCTCTCCAAATTCCTGGACTCCTGGGTTGGGGGTAGGGCCGCGGATCCCCAGGGTCAGCCCAGCTGGACGCCGCAGCGCCCTGTCCCCTGGCGACCCTCTCGACCCCCCTCGTGGGTCACTGTGACCTCTTCCTGGGGAGCCAGCGCCCAGGTCCCCGAGCTGCGGGCCGGCAGGGGAGGAGTTAACTCCGGAGGCACCGGCTGGGCTCACCGTACCTGCCGCTGCCGCCGCCGCCGCCGCCGCCGCCAGTGGGAGGGACGAGGAAGCGGAGCCGCCCGGCGCCGGAGCGCTCAGTCCGGCGGGGCGCGGCGCGGCGCGGGGCGCGGGCGGCCGGGGCGTCCGCCAGGGGGCGCGCCGCGACGGGGCGGGCGGGGCGTCTGGGCCGGGGAATTCGCACGGGGCCGGGCGCGCGCGCAGGTCCGCACATCTGGGCGAGCTCGGAGCCGCTGGAGCGGAGGGGCGCGGGCGGCAGGGGAGCGGCGGGGCCCCGCGCAGCTGGAGCCCCTCGAGGCGCGCACCTGGGGCCCGAGCGGGAGCCTCGCGTCGCGCGGCCGGGCCGGGGAGGGGGCGGCGGCGGCACCGCCGGACCGAGGGGGCGGGGTCGGTCCTGGGCGATTGGCGGAGCCGAGGGCCCCGGGGCGCCGGGGACCGAGCATGGGACGGCGCGCCTGAGGGGACAGCGGGAGCACGCGGCGGGGGACCCCGCCAGGGACGGCGAGGAGGGGACGCGAGCGGGAGGAGGATGCAGCTGACCCGCTGCTGCTTCGTGTTCCTGGTGCAGGGCAGCCTCTACCTGGTGAGCATCCGCGGGGAGCCGCGCGGGGGCCCGGGGCCGGGGAGCGCGCGAAGCTCCCGCGCCCGGAAACTTTCTCCTGCCCCCGGCAGCCGGGCTCGGAGGGGCGACGGGCGACGGGCGACGGGGGCAGAGGGCGGGCCGGGCCGGAGGCCGCACGGGAAGGGTTAATAGGGGCGGGGAGAGGGCGCCGGGCCGAGCCACCCACTCCGGGCGGGTGGCGGGAGGTGCGACCCGCGCTGGGGCCAAGGCCCCCCGAGCCAGGTCGCCCTGGGCTCTGGGACCCCGCACCCCAGGACGCACGGGTAAGGGTGCAGAGGGGTGTGGAGCTGGGGACCCGCCAGCTCGGGGGACGTCCGCGCGCGACCCCCGAGGGTCCTGGCACTGGAGAGCCCCTTGCGCGCGGAGCCAGTGCAGGCAAGGGGCGGCCCCGCGTCCCCGCGCCCGCCGCCTGCAGCCCGCGTCCCCGCTCCGCCCGCCCTCCCCGCCTGTTGTTTTCCTCTCCTCTCCCGGCTGCGCGCGGCCCGAGCCCCACAGGACCTGGGCAGGCGGCTCCCGCCCCGGGCGCTCGCGGCCGCTCATCAGCACGCGAGGGACCCCAGCCCCGGCCCCAACTCCCTTGCGACTCCTCGCCGCCGCGCGCGCACCCCGCCCCTGTCCTAGCGAAGCTTCCTTTCCTCTAGACAATGATCCCCTTTGCCGGCATCTCCAGGCCACTAAAGAAATCTCCTTCCCTGACCAGTCCTTTCCTGTGGCCCTCTCCTGTGTCCCCTGCCCTTTAGCTGTTACCCCCAGGGCCCAGTCCATACAGGTGGGCAGCCCTGAGCCCAAACCCAGGAGCTGTCCTCACCAGAGTCCCTGTTACCCTCAGGATACCGGGAGGCAGCTGTGACTCCTGGGCAGAGGCAACTTGGCCACTTCAGCCAGCTGTGGGCACCGCCCAGGCGCAGGGACCCCAGACCCCTCTGCATCTCAGCCGGCTCACTGGCTCGGGCAATCTCCTTCCCTAGCCCAGAATCGCTGCCAGTGCTGCCAGCTGACCCGGTGCCCAGTGAGCTCACCCGGGCAAGAATTCTCTTTCCAAAGCTAAACAAACTCCAGAGGGCCACTGCCCTCAGGAAACCTGGTGACCTCCCCTCTGCACGCCCTGTGGTGCTGCCTGGTCCCCGCTGCACCTCAGCAGTCCTCCCTGCGGCCCTGGCCAAGCCGGGGCAGAGTCTCAGAGTATTTTGGGTGGGGATGGGGCTTGGCCCAAATTCCTTCTAAAAGACACATCTGACCCGTGAGGCTGGGGGGTGTGGGTTGGTGGAAGGCCTGGCCCCAGGGACCTTAGCCTGGAGTGATGCAACCTCCGAGCTGTGGTGCCCTCACCTGAGAAATGGAGTCACAGGACTGCTGCCTCACAATGCAGATGACACCTTGGCATGTCACCATCCACCAGCCTCTGGCTAAGAAGCCTGTGTTTTCCTCCCCCTGGGCCGTCCTGGGTGGCACCCCCATCCCCCTGTGCGCCCCCCCCCCTCCTGCCAAAGCCTGTGCTGTGTTTGTACTTGACTGAGCTAGGCTCGGTCCTGCGCTCTGGTCTCATTATGGTTTCCTTTGCATCTAAGGAAGTCCTCAAGTCAGGAGTTCCTGTTGACAGGGACCTCCAGTCAGTCTACTTGCTAACTTGGGGCTCTTTGGAGGCAGAATTTGTGCCTCTCCAGGCAGCCTGGTATTGCACCAATGGATAGGTGAGTTAGGCTCGACCTCTTCCATCACACTGGGGCTTCTGCCATCAAATGGGGCTGAGCTGTCCCCATCGGACTGGGGACCACCTGGGAGGCAGGGGCTGTGTGTCTCTGGAGCCAAGGTCTGCTGGTGAGAATTCCTGAACATGCTCTGCCAGAGGCAGGATAGTAAGGAAAGTACCTGGGGATGCCCCAAGTATAAGGACAAGATGCAAGGGACACAGCCCTGACCCCAGAGTAAGTACAGACACAAGAGCCCTCGGCCCTGAGTCAGCAGAGAAAGGACAGGGACGGGGAACCCGGGTGGCGGGGAGTTGTACCTGGTCCTCTGGACACAGGCTGCTCACTCTTCCTGCCTCCCTCTGTAGGTCATCTGTGGCCAGGACGACGGTCCCCATGGCTCCGAGGAGCCTGAGCATGATGACCATGAGAGCCAGCCCCGGCCCCGGGTCCCTCGGAAGCGGGGCCACATCTCGCCAAAGTCCCGTCCCCTGGCCAACGCCACTCTGCTAGGGCTGCTGGCTCCACCTGGGTCCGAAGCTTGGGGTGTCCTCGGGCAGCCCCCCAACCGCCCGAACCACAGCCCCCCACCTTCGGCCAAGGTGAAGAAAATTTTTGGCTGGGGCGACTTCTACTCCAACATCAAGACGGTGGCCCTGAACCTGCTGGTCACAGGGAAGATCGTGGACCACGGCAACGGGACCTTCAGCGTCCACTTCCGCCACAACGCCACGGGCCAGGGCAACATCTCCATCAGCCTGGTGCCGCCCAGCAAAGCCGTCGAATTCCACCAGGAGCAGCAGATCTTCATTGAAGCCAAGGCCTCCAAAATCTTCAACTGCCGCATGGAGTGGGAGAAGGTGGAGCGGGGCCGCCGGACCTCGCTGTGCACTCACGACCCAGCCAAGGTCTGCTCCCGTGACCACTCCCAGAGCTCGGCCACCTGGAGCTGCTCGCAGCCCTTCAAGGTCGTCTGCGTCTACATCGCCTTCTACAGCACGGACTATCGGCTGGTCCAGAAGGTGTGCCCAGACTACAACTACCACAGCGACACCCCCTACTACCCTTCGGGCTGACCCCACCCAGGCGGGTGCCATCGCCTGGACACCCGGCAGGGAGGGGGTGGGAGGGCGCCAGGCAGGGAGATGCCAGGTGGGCTGAGCCTCAGTGGCAGAGCAGGGGCAGAGTCCCAGCTGGCCTCAGCCCGAGGCTGAGCAGCCCCTAGAAAGTAGGAGCCCTGGGTGGAAGACAGGGTTCTCCCAGCCTCCTCCTGGAGTCGCCCTGGGCAGGCAGATCATGGTGGCCCCAGGTCAAGTCCCGGAGGAGACCCTGAACCCTTGGCTCCCTACCAGCCCTCCTGAGCGCAGAGGGGGTTTCAGGAGTCAGCATAGGGTCACGGCTGAGACAGGGCCTCCCAGGGGACCGCGGTGGGCAGCCCCGAGCCCCTTTCCTGCCCCACACTCGTCATGAGGTGACATGCTGACCCTTGAGGTCTTTGTTGTGACAAATTGTCTATCGGTCTCCAGCCAGGCCACCCCTTCCCACAACCCTCCCTCCCGCTGGCATTTCTCCCTGCCCTTTTGCTACCACATCTGTCCTTAGGCCAAGACAGGACAATGCTGGTCCTCCTAGCACCAAGGCCACGGGTGGACGCCCACCCAGACGCCATGCATCCCTCTGCTACCACACCCCCTGCTGAGAGTGGTCCCTCTGTAGTGTGCCTGCCTGTCCGACGGGGGTCCTCCCTCCCTGTCCAGGGGCCACGGAGCTGCCCCGTGAGATGGCTGGGTCCACTCCCTCGTGTCTGTCTGTGGGTGGGGGAGGGGCGGGAAGTCTTGTGCAGCCACCTGACTGTCCACTTCTGTGTGCAGAATCTTGTCCTTGGAGCAGGGAATAAAGCTTTGCCCAGGCCTCAGCCTGCTGAGTTGTCCATGGGGGAGGGCCCAGGTCCCCTGGGCCTCCTTGCCTGTATTTCTCTGATGGCAGCTGGACATCACTGGGGGCCAGAATACTAGGGGCTTGGAACTGGTGCTGAGAAAGGCTTCTCTGATGCCTTCCCGGTCCCTTTGCGGGGCTGTCTGATCCAGGCCCCGTGCTCGGTGCTCGGTGCCTGCTGGGGCTGGGGCAGCGTCTGTCTCCAGGAGTGGGTTGGTGGGGTGCAGGAGTGGGTGCGGCCTGGGCAGGGAGCTGCTATTCTGGTGGTGTCCCTAGGCCCCTCAGGGGTGGGGGTGGGCACCTGGGGCTATCTTAGCTCTGCCTTTCTTTTCTATGTGGTCTTGGCCAAGTTGTCCTCTAACCAAGGGCCTTGCCCAGTGCACAGATTCTCAGTGGGGGGAACCTCAAAACCCCGCAGATTTCTGGGTGTCCATACCGGAGTAGGTGGGGGAGACCCCCAAAGTCACCCATGACCCCCAGGCTCCTTTCTGGCTCTGGCTCTGGCTCCATAGGATGAAGGACGTCCTCTGAGCTCGAACCTAGTTAAATCCCATGTGTTTGTTGTGGGGCAGGGTCCTCTCCCAGCGCCTAACCTTCTGGGGTGTCATGGGGATGAGGGGGCCTTGAAGCGGCCCCTGCTTCCTCCAGCTGTTAGGAGGCCTGAGGAATGGACAGCTGTGTGAGCGTCCTCCCTAGGGTTTGGCCGAGCCCTCCCGGCAGGGCCTGAGGCTCTCTGGTCCTTTTGGCAGGGTCGAGTGGTGGGACGGTTGGTCCTATCGTGCAGGTTAGAGGCCACCTCCAGCCTTTGCCCGGGCACTGAACTGGCTGTCCCCCATGCCCCCATGACCTCTGCCACACAGAGCTGAGTGGCTTGGGACCTGCTTCCCTGTAGGTAAAGTAACCCAGGAAGGGCATCTTGAGCACCTGTTTCTGCTCCAACGTTCCCTGCACCCCACTTCCTGGGCCACTTCTGAGCATCCTGGAGACACACCCAGCCCTCCATGCCTCTCTCCCTCTGTACAGGGGTCTTGGGGTCTCGCCCTGTGGTGGACGGCACAGGCCCCTGCGGACACCCCAACAGCATCCTGGAGCAGCTCCCCTGGCCTGTGGGGTCTAGGGAGAGAGAGAACAAGCAGTGGGGCTGGCCAGGCCTCCTCGCCTGCGGACTTGGGGCACCGTGACCCCTCCTCCTCCTCCCCCACAGAGAGCCAGATGCTGCAGACAGCTGGAGGGCCCGGCCTTCCTGGCACACGCGTCTGCCTGCGCAGGGAGGGGGGTTCATTTTAATAACTTCATTGCGCCCGCGTGCACACCCCGCGCCTCCTTCCTGCTTCCCCGCCCGCCCCAGTAACCAGGCTGCTGCTCTCAGCTCCTGCTCTGCTAACAGATTTCCTCCAAGTCCTCCTCCTGTGGCATGGCCCGCTGGGTCCCTATGACGCTTCCCAGATACTTCCTGAGCCCCTTGGTCCTCAAGAAGACGCCCACTCCTGCAGCTAATGCATCTATGTGTACCGCTGGGACCAAGACTGGGTACCCCAAGGACTCCAACCTCTACCCCTGCCACACCATCCCTCCCCTTGTAGCAGACTCTCTCAAAGTACCCCAACTCCTCCCAGGAGAAAATTGGGGTCTGAGCCTCACCCCAATTCTTTGGCTGCCCGATACTGTGTTTCAGGGCAGTCAGAGCCTGCACCCAGCCTGCCAGGGGCTTTCTTGCGTCCTTAGGCTGGGAAATCACTGGGTGGCCCTGGGGCAGAGGACAGGCCTCCCTCATCAGACCAGAGCCTTCCTGAGGCCAAGACTGGTTCCCCACAGGAAGGGGATGCCTTGTACTTTGACAAGCCCCAGGACAGCTGCAGGCCGCCTGTCCCCCACTCTGTGTACACTGCCTGGGCTCAGCGTCCCTGGGTCTCTGGGGACACAGTGTCCCGAGTCTGTGAGAGGGAATGTGTGTCAGGTCAGCTGGCAGCGGATCACAGCTGAGTCTCCCTTCTCCACGAGGCCTGTCCTCCTCCCCTCCTCCCCCTCCCGGCAGCCGAGCTGGCGGGAACTGAGTCACCCCTTTCCCCATCCTTGGCAGGGCTGCCAGTGACCTTGCGTGTGGCAGACTCCTGCGGCGAGTCCATTGCTCAGAGCCGCACGGGGTAGGTGGGTAGGGAAGCTGGGGGTGGGGACCTGGGGGACAGCTGAAGGTCACAGGATGGGGACAGGGATGTTGCAGGGGGTGTGCAGGGGTGGAGGGAGATCCTGTGAGCCAGCCGCCCCGTAAGAAGCGATCCAATGTAATGGCCGGGAGAGGGAGAGAAATGTGACTTCCAAAGGCTCCAATTCCTGTGGTGCTGCCAGGAGAGGGCAGGGGGCACGTGTGACAGGAGGCACCATCCGCTCTACTAGGTGGGGTGGGGGCGCCACCTGCTGATGATGCTAAAGTCCTGCCTCCAAGGCACAAATGCAGCTGGGGGCTGGGAGCTCGCTCTGGCAGGCTTTGGGTTCTTGTGGCCGCCGCCAGGCTCAGGCTGAGCTTATGGTAAGTCAGGCAGAAGACGCCTGACTCAGGACGCTGCCCAGGGGCCTCAAGGGACAAGCTGGCTCTTCTTGAACCATTAGAATGGCATTGCAGAGCTGGGTGTGGTGGCACCTGGCTGTAATCCTAGCATTTGGGGAGGCTGAGGCAGGAGGATCACAGATTTGAGCTCAGCCTGGCCATTTCAGCAACTCAGTGACATGGTCTCAAAAATAAAAAAGATGGTGGGGGGATGCACCTCAGAAGGCTGTGGGTTTAATCCCGATAGGTGGCTCACGGTGACAACACAGGTGTGAGAGAAGCTCTGCTTGTTCCACCCAGCCCTGTCATTTACTAGCTGGGTGGCTAGTAACAACACAATCTCCTGGAACTTCCTCTCATGGAGAACATTCTACTTGCCCAGAAGCACTGTTGGGAAAATTCATGCGTCCTTCACCAAATGCTGCCTCCCTCTGGTGTGGTGGCACATACAACTGTCATCCCAGCACTCAGGAGGCTGAAGCAGGAAGATTGCGTGAGTTTGAGGACAGCCCAAACTGCATAGCCAGACCCTGTCTCAAAGAAACCCAAAACCCAAAACCCAAACCAAACCAAACCAAACAACGCTACTTCCCCCTCTCCTTTGGAGACCGGGTCACTGAAATTGAGGCTCGCACTGCTGTGGAGAGGTACAGGGGCCCAGACTGGTGGCAGGCATCCTGGGCTGCTGTTCTGGTTCTGTGCCATCGATGCATGTGGCAGTCACCGAGTGCCCCATGAAATCTGCTTCCCCTTTCTCCTGCATGATGGGGTCCTCCACTCTTAGCTGGCCACACGGCTGCCTGGAATTAATACACATTTCTCTGCCTCTCCTCACGGAGAAGGAATCATTGCCTAAAATCTGGTTAATGACATTTAAGCCAAGTGACAATATGGGAAGGCATAGAATTAGTTTATTTCTTGCAGAGCTAGTGTGATGAACCCAGAGATGCTCTACCACTAGGCTCTATCCCCAGCCCATTCTATTTTTTGACACAGGGTCTCACTAAATTGCCCAGGCTGGGCTTGAATTTGAGACCTTCCTGCCTCGACCTCCAAAATTGCTGAGATTAATGGATATGCCAGTGCACCTGGCTCAGAAACCTCTGCTCCTTTATTCCATTCTCTGCTCTGTCACTTGCCATCTTAGATGAGAAGTGGCAGAACGGCAAGCTGGAGAAACCTTATTTAAGCTGCTGTGTCCTGGGTCTGCAATTCTGGTGCCACCTGATTTGGTCGAATGTTGGAGCTTCCTCTTGTGGACCTGCATCCTCATTTGCGGGACTGAGTTGATGCCCACAGAGTTGCCACACACCAGGCGAGGCATCAGAGGCCAGGACGGACTTGGGAAGCTTGGTCCTCCTCCGCTCTGTGGCCTCCATTTTTCGAGGTGCAACAGCTGCTTGATTGTGGGGACCCCAGGGGGCTCAGAAGCATCTTCTTCCTCAGCCCTAGGGGCCTCCCGTCCCCAAATGCAGCCCCGAACATCTGAGTCCCCACCCATAGTCTGATGTTGGTGACACACAATCCTCGTTAAGGGCCTGACTGATCCCAGCCAGATGGGATCCTAATTTAATTAAAACCCTTTAATTACCTGCAACAATACAGCTTTGGAAAGCCAAGGCAGAAGGGGGCCCGGGTGGGAGGGGCTGCCCTTCCAGGCCTTGGGAGCCTGGGGTTGCGAGGTGCTGGTCCCACCAATGAGCCCGAGCCATCAGGAAGCAAGAGCCAGCTTGGCCCGGCTTCTGGCTTGATCCACAGGGCATGGCAGAGGGGTGGGGGCGGGGCCTGCCAGCCCTTAGAAGCCCAGTGCCAGGCTCTCAGGCCCAAAGCTGTCAGTGTTGGTTTCAAGCTGAGGTGAGACCAGCACAGGCCGTTTCAGGTCAAGCCTGAGCCTCCTGAAACCCTGGCCCTGCCCAAGGCATGCTAGGGAGGAGTGGGCCTGGCTCCAATGTCTGCCCAGTGCCCTGGGTTAAATGCCAGGGCCACCTGTTTACCCAACCAAGGAGAGCTGTGGCCCTAGAGCTGGTCTTTCCTCAAGGCTGGGCAGGGAGGGTCCAGGCATGACTTGTGTGGGCTGCAGAAGGGACCCATAAAGGCTCCCACCACAGTGCTGGGCTTCGGCGGCTCCTCCCCAGGAACACAGGAGGAGCCCCAGCCAGGCCAGAGTGTGCCAAGGCCTGGCACGGACTGACACGGCAATCCAGGCCCGCAACTGGCTATTTTTAGGCCCTGTGGACATCATCCGTTAATACCCCTTCTGTCCTCCCTTAGTCCTTGTTGGCTCGGTAAATATTGTTTAATAAAGCCTCCGGAAGTTCCAGCTGGTCTCCACCAGGCCAGGGGGCCCAGCAGAGAAGGTGCTGGCTTCCACTGGAACCTCCACCTTACAGCAGAGGTTTTGCTGGGGTCCATGGGGGACCCGGGGCCGGAAGTAGAACAACAAACCCCAGTAGAAGGAGAAGCTGTAGGCCACGGGGAGCACCAGCCCTTCTGTACCCCCGATTCCCTGTCCCAGCCACAGCTGAAGAGCCGCTGTGCTTTGCTTTACAGGGAGAGCTCTCCAGGACTGAGGCCTGGGTGCATCTGGCCTTCTGCCCCCTCCCCTAGGTCGCCTCTGCATCTCTGGATTCACCAAGCCATCTCTCCCTCAGACTGAAGCTCCCTGAGGGCAGGACTGGCTGGTTGGGCTGGGCGGGCCTCCCTGGGCACGGTCCATGACCTCCCCTGAACACAGCACCTGGCACACCAAGGTCCCTGCTGTGCCTCCCTGGATGCTCAGCCTGCATCCTTCTAGTGGGCAGGGAGGTGGCACCTGTCCGCTTGGTTACGGACAGGGACAGACTGGCTCTGTCAGTGTGGGTTATGGCCACGTAGTGCCCCCCTTCCGCCTGGTCTCCTGGGCACCCTGGGGAAGGAAGGTGGAGAGGACTGACCTCTCTTCCTCTTCCTGTCTGGGGCCTGCTGTGTAGAACAGAAGCTGATGGGAGGGATGCCGGAAGCCGAGTCGCCTAGAGTCAAATCCTGTTTTCCTTGTTACTGCCTTTGTTTATTGAGACAGGGTCTTGCTGTGTAGCGCAGACTGTCCTCAAAATTGCAATGCTCCGGCCTCAGCCTCCTGAATGCTGGGATTAGGGCGAGTGCCACCATGCTGGCTAGGCTTCAAGTCCTTGCCCTTGCACTTTCTCATTCCAGGTGTGTCCAGCCCGTGGCTCGTGGCTTTCCCCAGCTGGCACAGAGCTTGGGGTGACCGGCACCTTTGTGTCTCCAGTTCCTCATGTGTACAGTGGGGATTCTGTGTCCCTAAGGCCCGCTGTGAGCAGCCGCTGTGTTGACCGAGAGGCAACGCTCGAGAGATGACAGCCCTGCACGCCTGCCCCCAGCCTGGCTGGCCCTTGGTGGAGGAGCGAGGTGAATGCCCGGTTCCCCCGTCCCTGCTGCAGGAAGAAACTGGGAAGGTCAGCGTGGGTCTCCTCTGTGCACGGTGACTCCCCTGGTTGCCTCGGCTGTGGATAAAGGGCAGGCAGCTCTTTGTCCTGCCACAGATCCCTGCCTCTTTACCTCAGAAGCTCCGTCAGGCGCATGGCTGGCTTCATCTGCCCTCTACCTACAATGTGCACCCAGATCTGAGAATGGGGTACCCCGAGGGTCTTTATTCAGGGGCGCCCAGAAGGTACTGTCCAGGCTTCAGGTGCCTTCCTGTCCCCCTCCCCACCATGCCCTGGTCCAAGCCAGCCTTTCCTTCCTTGCCTTCACCTTCTTCACCCCCGGCTCAGTCTCTCACCAGCCTGCAGGGCTGGGGTTCCCTTGCCAGGACCCGAGGGTGGGCGTGACTCTGTCCTGTGTCCATTCTATGATGTGGCGAGTTCCCCACAGACAGGCCTAGGGTGGCTCGTCCCCGCAACAGAGGACACACATGTGGCTGGGTGTCCACAGCCCTCGGCCCGTGAGCCCTGACTCAGATGAACTCTGAACTCTGGCAGCGTGGAAGCTCCCCACAGCCTCGGGGAAGTGTGTGAGAACCGTCCTGGCTCCCGGCTCGGGGAACCCTGAGTAGGGGGTGGGTGGTAGTCCCCGAGAGCCCCGTGCCCATCCTGGCTGTGCACAACCGGGCTGGGCACTGCCATCTGCCATGGCCCGCAGAGCTGGAGCAGGAGCACGCTGGGGGCAGGTTCTGTGTGGCATTTTATTTTCAGGCGAGAGGATCAGGCTCAAGATGTCACTCCAGTGAGTGAGACCTGAGACAGGGAGAGGAATGTCTAGGAAAGCAGGAGAGACATGAGTGGAAGCTTCCACGCGCCAGGAGGAGGGAGGAACAGCAGGCAAAAAAGGAAGGAAGCGGAGATGCGAAGGGAGGAAGCCTGCGGGGAGGCGTCTGACGCAGCAGATCTCCGTCCCTCCCGGCCAGGCGGCACAGGCAGAAAAGCGGGTAAGCCCGAGGCGGCTGCGGGCGCCACTCCCTTCCTCTCCCTGCCCCACACTCGGGGCTCTCCCTGCCCTGCAGCTTCCTCTCGGAAGGCCACTCTCCCGAGCTCTGGACGCCATGTTGACGGTGATGGTGACCGCACATGAGGAGGAAGGGTGATTTCCGGGTACAGGCTCTGCCCTGGGACCACAGCTCCATCTCTTCCCCAAGGGGCAGTGTCGAGCTGGGCTCCTGCCGCTGAAAATCCCCACATGGCCCTGCCACTTCGGGGTCTCCCTGTGGACTGAGCTCTCCTCACGGAAGCCCCAGATGGAAGGGCACATAAAGGCCACGCCTGGCGAGGGTGGGGAACAGCTGTAACTATACAGTGATACCAGAGACGCTGTTGGCAGTTTCCCTGCCTGGAGGAACCATGTTGAGGGTGTGACTTCTCCAGAACTCAGATACGCCCATTTCACAGATGAGAAAGCCAAGGCTTTCCCAGCCCAGTGCTATGGCTAGGATCACTGCCCAGGGTGCACAGGCTGAAGAGCACACCAGCCACCTGCCCTAGATGGGAGGAACCTGCTGGTTCCATAGGGGCTCCCGGGACCTAGAGGGGAGCCTCACAGAAGAGTGCATCCCCTATGGGGCCTGGCAGCTTTAACCTGGCATGTACTGCTTGCTGAGTGACCCCAGCCCATACTGGCCTTTGAATGTCACAGCCCTCAAGGTTTAGTTCCTAGCCCTCTCCTTGCTCTACTCCTGTAGGGTGACCTGCCACACCCTGTGGCTGAGGACATCTAGGAACTCACTCCCAGTCTCATGCTGTCCCCATCCCCGGAGCTCCAGGCACATAATCCAGTCATCTCTGTGGTGTCTCTCTCTGGAGTTTCCAACTCACAATCAACAAATAAAATGAAGCCCATGGTCTAATTGCCCCAAGCCTGCTTGCCTCCACGGTCTCAGTTCTGGTGAATTCATCTGAGCCTGTAAGGCAGAAACCTCCCGTCCTGCCTCTGTCCAACCCATCAACAAGTCTGTCCCGTTGGACCCCTAAGCGCCCCTTAGATGCATTTACTCCCTCGGCCTGCCCCTTCCAGCTCCCACACAGCAGTGGGAGCAGCAGTGGCCCACGCCCTCCTGCTGCGCTCCTCCGTGGCTTTCCTGCGCTCTCAGTATAAGCACGAAGTCCTAGAAAGGACCTGACCTCCTACTGCCTGCATCCCAGCCTCGAAGCCCCGGGGACACCCCAGTTTCCTCTGTCTTCAGGGCTGTTTGCGTGCCACTGTGGGACTTTAGCAAGCTAGCAGCTCCCCACTTCCTGCTCCCAAAGCTGCTTTCTTCACGATGCCCTGGCTGCCTCCTTCCGGGCACCCACGGGGGCTGGCCGGGCTACTTTTACAGGGTTGTTGTAAACGTTCCCCATCGACTCCGAGCGCAGCCTGGTTTACTCCCCACTGTGTTCCTGAAGACTAGAGCAGCCCTTGCACGCTGCGCGTTGAGCATTGGTGAACTAGGAAGACACAGAAAGGCTTCAGAATTCATTCTTACGGGCCCGAGGCAAGGCAGGCGATTCTTCACCTTTGGTGCAGTGAGGGAGCCTGGTCGCCCTTTGCTATGCCCAGCGCCCTCCTCTGCCAGATGGGGTGCAGCTCAAGGCAGAGTGTTTGCCTGGCATGCATCCAGCCCTGGGCCCACTCCCCAGTACAGCGAACTCCCAAAACAACCTAGAAATCCAATAAACAAGAGAAAGGGGATTTTCTTTCTTCTCTAGAAGCACATTCAGAGGTAATGGGGCAGAACCCTGTGCCCTGGCAGGACGGTGGGTCATGGTGCATGGCGTCTCTGTAAGGCCGGCTTTCATTAGGGTTCTCATGAAGATGCACTTCCAACACGGGTAACAGGAGTAAAAATGAGTTAATTCACCCAGAGAGATTAAAATGTGTAATATGGCTACTGGTTCCTGTGCCATTGTCACTGTATCTACAGAAGAGTAAAAGGCAGGACGCCACTGTGCCGTCAGCTACGTGGTGCAGTTGAAAGCACAATGGGACAGCAGGAAGCAGTGAGCACCGGAGGAGGAATGAACCCTAACCTGCTCCACACAGGGGCTCCGGCCAACTGCTCAGGTCTCAGGAGTTTTGGGGGGTGGGTTGTTAGCCAGCCATTATCAAAAATGTACTGATTACATGGTATTGCCATGTAATTAGTAGAGATAGTTCTTCCTTATGTAGGTTAGGGTTAGGGTAGGTTTCCTGTGCCTGTGTCTCAGAGGTTATTCGTGGTCCAGTGCACAAGTGGCCAAGCATTGGGTAACAGCGCCCCAAGTGCCACTCCAGGTGAGCTCGCCATGGGGTCTGGAGGCGGCATGGCGGGCACACTGACACCACGGGAACTGGCAGAGGCTCCTGCCCGGAGCTGCCACACTGGAGGCCAATGCTTTGCCTGTCGTAGCTCCTCACCAAACCCAGCTCCTGGCCTCTGAAAACATCAGACGCGTGACACAACGCTCACGTGGCAGAGGGACAGAGGGAAGAAGTACAGAGCGCATCTTCAGGAAAGCCATCCTCAGAGTGGCAGGTGGCTTGAGGGTGAATGCCAGTAACGATTGTTCTATGCACGTCACATCAGTCACCAGTGTGGCTGATGCAGTGTAGTTTATTCAATAACTTGGACCTCACACTTTCAGACAAAAGCAAGGGTACTGAACAACCAGCCTGACACAGCCTTCAAAGTCAAAACGTGAAGGTTCTATTTACGTCTTGTCTGTCTTGGCTTCTGCCTCCACCATTTGACTGGAAATTCTTTAAGGTAACAGCTGATCCTTCACTGCTAAGTTTAATAGCTTTTACCAAGGCCCCAGTTCTGTGGCCTCTCTGGCTTTTCTGCCTTCTCTGTAGCACTGAGGCTTATGTTTGTTGTTCTTGAGACACAGACTTGAGGAACTGCCCTGGCTGGCCTCAAACTCTTGATCTTCCTGCCTCAGCCTCCTGAGTGCTGGGGTTACAGTGTGTGCCACCATACTGCGTAGGACTAAGCAGAGCAGTCACCCTGTCCTAGACCTAACCTTGCACCATGTCAGGGTCCCTTAGATGATGCACGATTGTCCACTCAGTCTGTGCTTTGAGTTTTAACCTCGGTGACACCGACATGAGATGAACTGTGTGGGACGCCATGCCTCCTTTGGTTGTGCGGAGCTCGTCTCTGAGGGTCTTGAGCAGCTCTCCCACTTCCCATGTCAGGAGGAGCAGATGTGACCCCCACTTTGCCCAAGCGCCAGGAGGAGCACACATGACCACGGCACTGCCTTGTGAACTCCTGCGTCTCCGCTTCCCCTTGGGCCCTAGCCCAAAAGCGATGTAGCTGCCCTCTCTCTTGCTCTGGCCCAGACACAGTGACCTTGTGGGAGTCCCAGCCTCACCTTCCCAAGCCACACACGTACACCAGGAATGGACAGGTGCTGCACGGCAAGTGGCAAGTGCTCAGAGTGCCCGTGACATCTGTCAACTACAGGGACTGGTGCTGCCGGAGCGCTGCTGTCTCATCTTCCTGTCTTCCCCTTCAACTCCTGAGTCATTTCTGTTGCTTGCACTAAATTCCCTCAAGCCTCCAACTTTTTCCATTAGAGCTGCAGAAATCAGCACCAAACAGCGCTCCAGATGCCTCTGCCTCTTTCTCTGCAGGCGGAACGGGGCCTGGGGGGGAGGGGCGGCCAAAGATCCCATCGGTCAACAGCACTGGTCTCCCGTTCTCATCTGGAGGTGAAGCTTCCGGTTTTCCCAGTTCATCAGCCGAAGGCAGCTCGCCCTGCCCCTGATTTCCTGCTCAGGGGTCCGGAGGGGTCTGCGCGTGGTGTCAAAGGCACCGTGGTGGTACGGTCGCCTCGGAAGCGCACAGGAAGCACATCGACCTTGCACACTCACGTCCGCAGAAGGCAGCAGCCCAGCCACGCTCACCTGAATGCCAGACAAAATGAAGTGATGGAGGGCAGAGTACGGCGGAGAGTCACGAGACACAGAAAACACAACGCCCGGCTGATTAAAAAGATAATTAGTTGTGGAAAATAAGGTTGGGCTCAAGCCAAGCATTTGTCTTTGACAAAGATAAACCAGACAATCCAGTGCAGTCCCGTTGGGGGAATTTAGCTGCTCTTTTGAGTGGAAGGCCAGAACAAAGCAGTGGTCAGTTTGAGAGTGCGGCTACGCCCCCTCTGTTTGTTGTTCTGCTCATAAACATACAAGCTGTTTCCCTTCAGCCTTACAGCCTGTGCAATATGGAGATCCACAACGCCGTTACACCGGATTGGAGGAGATGCACAGCGGCCAAGCCCCTGGCCGAAGAGGCTGTCTTCATGGCCCTTGCTACAGCATGGTAAATGTAGCAGCGGCAGCACTGGGAGAGCTAAAAGGCCAGCAGCCGCTCCAGTGACAGCAGAGAGGACATCTCTTGCCCACACTTTCAAAGCCTATCAAGATATCTCAGCCACCTAATAACACTGAACTTCATCTCCACGTGAGGAGTGGGAAAATGCTGTGGACAGCAGATCAGTGCGGGAACTGGCGGCAGGGGAGGCAGGGGTGCGGGCCACGCATGCCAGATACTCTGCATGGACCTGAAAATGCAACTGCAAAGGTTCTGCGAAGCTGCCTGCCTGCAGCACTGTTTTGATAAATAAGCCATATCCTTGTGGAACTGCCATCTCCAACTGTTCCACTGGCATGGATGTCTCTGCAGTGACAGTACACGCCCCAGATTGTAGCATTGACTTGAACTACGTTTCAGATGTGGGGGAGCTAAGGGGAAGGGGCGGTGGCAGGGGAGGCTTAGGAACAGTATGCTGGGGCTCTGATACCGTCATGACCAGATGGCTTCAGCTGTACCACTGACAACAGAAACAAACATGTCCGGAAATAATACCACGCGGGAACCCCGCAGCCTCACTTGCGCCTGGCCGACTCACAGCCATGTACCCATAGTAAAGCCCATGCTGGAAATCCCATAAACCCTCTGTCATCCCGGAAGCTGGGCACCAGGGTTGCCACCTCCCTGGAAGCGTCAGTCTCCACCTTGAATGCTCTATGCAGGAAGAGGAAAGCCAATCTGGCCTGGCCTCCCAGAGCCTCTAGAGCGGAGCAGCAGAGGCGCCTGCCCAGAGTCCTGCTCCTGCTATTCCCGGAGGAAGCAGCTTCACTTCCAATTCTGTACCTATACTTTCCAGAAATGGAACTTCCTCCCTTCGTTATGTAATCCTCAGGATACGATGTGAGATCTGCACCCAACAGCCGTGACCTCAGGCACGCTCCTTCCCTGGGCTCGCCTTGTACCAGCTATGTAATGGGTGCCACCAGGCTCGCCAGTGCCAGGAGGCTCAAGGACAGCCTGGAGAAGGTGGCTGGCTGGGACTAAGGACTGCACTGCGCATGCACCTCTGCAGCAGGACCCTGTGCCTGCCCCGGCCTCCAGGTCTGGGGCTGACCTGGAAAGTGAGGACCTCGGAGGTACAGGACCACCGCTGGCCACACCAGAGTGGCAGTGGGAAGGGCAATGGAGTGCTTTCTTGAAACTCCCACCTGGAACTGTCCTGTGAATGGATCGGGCCCGCTGTGGGCACAGTGAGACATGACGTGGGGACGTACAAAGGCTCAGCCCGTTGAGGGGAAGTGGAAGGAAGGTGAACTAGATGGCCAGGGCACTTCCAGCATCCCACGATGTCCTCCAGCGCCAGTGACAGCTGCAGGCAGGCTGGAGCACAGCCTGTCCAGGAAGGGCAGCACAGCAAACTAGTGACAGGCCAGACAGACAGGGATTCCCTTTGCTTCCTGGATCTTTCGGGGTAGAGTTAGGAACAGAGACTGGGACTGGGTCCTAAAAGCCTCGGTTGAGGTAGGGGCTTGGTACCTCCCAAACATGTGACTGTCACACTCGTGGAGGACAAAAGACTGGCAGATGCTGGTGGTTCACAAAGGAAACTTGAGATGATGGAAAATAAATCAATCCCTCTGCTTATTAGACATTTCAGACATAATCCCTGCAAGAGGAAGGATCAAACCAAGCCTTCAAAATCCCTTAAGCAAGGAACTCAGACTCAAGAGACGAGCCAGATAAATGAAACAAAAGACCACAGATACCACACAGTACAAAATAGTAATTATTTATATTTTCAAAAAGAAAAAATTAACATTTGGAAGCTCTTCCCTGTAGGAAGAGAGGCTGATCGGAAGGAACAGGGCTGGCTCCTATGCAGGCGGCAAGTCAGGTACAGAAGGCTGAGCAATCTGGGCTGTGGTTTGTTTTCATACAGCATTTAATAATAAAATTTCCATTCTTCTCTCTTTTTTGCCTTTGTTTTGTGTTTTTCACTTTAGAAAAGGGGAGGAGGGAAGGGATGAGAAATAAAACCAGAGAAAAATGTCAAAAAACATTTTCCACAATATCTAAAAACAGAGAACCACAGTTCTTGTCAAGACAGTATGAATTCTGGGTGAATTATTTTTTCCAGTTTTCAATACCAATAAAGATTTCTGCAAAAGCCACGACCATCAGAACACTCATCTTCCAGATGAATCGCCTCCTTCCCCTCTGCCTTCACTTGCTGCTTTTCCTAAGAAGATACAGGGTGGCTTCTGTCCTTGTGAGCACTAAGTGCCGAGAGAGCTCTTTTGGTGCTTGTTCGGTGGGTGACGAGGCATCTTCACAAACATCCAAGTCCTAGCACAGTTGGAAGGACTAAAATTTGCTTCTCAACATAAATACTACTGGAAGCCACAAACTGATTCTGCAAAAATCCTTTCTTCTTTCCTTTCCCTGTCTCTTAAAACTAAGCATCTTTTTCTTTTACCCTCTGATCACTCCAGGTGCCTGACAATGGGTCGGCTTGTTGGAGCAGGCAGTCTTTCGGGCACCACTGCCGGGATGTTTGCTGGGCCAGTGCTGAAACTGCATCTGGTGTCAGACTGGGCCAGGCCAGCAGGAGCATGGAGAGGCGGCACAGGGCTCCCCTCCGGTCCAGCAGCCTTGAGTCCTGGGCCCTTCCCTCCCCCCATCCCCTAAGTGATTTAGTGCCATTTAAAGTCTGGGGCACAATGCAGTCTTTCCCCATGACAGAGTGAAGCTCCATAGATTGCGCCGTCTACCTGGTGTCCAGTGGCAGCTGCATGGCCGCTGCTTTTGGAAAATAAATGGAGTCTTATGACCGGCAGGGTCTTAGGACTGCTTCAGGCGCTTGCGTGGGGGCCCCAGGAAAGGGCACTGTGCTGAAGCCAGAGAGCGGTAGGCTTCGGCCACCAAGTGAGGGTGTGACACCACCATGGACTTCCACCCAGAGGTCTCCAGGACGTCCGAAGCATGACTAGGAGGAAAGTGGAGAGAGAATAGTGATCAGGAGACGGCCTGACCAGTGGCCTGGGCAGCCTAACCTCCCAGGGTGTGGCACAGGGGACATTAATGCAAGAGACACTGAGAACCCTTCGCAGGCAGAAACCAGTGCCCGGGCCACGGCTGCTGTAATCCTGAAGACCAGGACTTTGAGCCACCTCTCTCTCCGCAGTGAAAACTGGAACGTTCCTCAGTTCCTCTCAACGCCAGCACTTCACACTCACTGGTGTGCTGAGGCGGTGGTGCCGGGGCTCCTCGGGCAGACAGCTCTGAGCTCCTACCTGCCCTGGCCATTTCTCAGTCCTCTAACCTCAGGCAGGGTCACTGTCTAGCATCTACATGAATGTCCAAGAAGGGCCCAACAGGACACTCTCTGCAGTTAATTTGCAGAAAGTACCATGCAAGCAGCCAGCACAGAGTGGGCACTCAGAAGAGCTAAAAAGCACAGCCCCTGCCCTCCCTCTCCTGCCTCAACTAGTCACTGCCAGAAATCAGCTCACCACTAGATTTCGGGACATCCGCCCCTGGCTTGGGTTCTTAAAATCCGGCACTTGTCCACCTGAAGCATGTTGGCCCTATCTTCCCCAAACCCACTGTGAGACAGATGTTTTAGGGGGCTGATTTCCCTACTTCTGCTCCCCATCAGCAGGGGAGGAGACCACACCGTGGGGAGCAGGTGTGTGGCCACCGCTCGTTTGGCCCCTTCGAGGTATTTAGGAGTACCAAGGCCAGGTCACCTGTCACTTCGGGTAAGGGAACAGATTGGGTGGAATGCGTCTTTCTCAAAACAGAATACTGAGCCATCTCAGCTCCCAGCCACAGCTCCGTTTCCCACTGAACCACAAGCTGTCAGATATATTTCACTAGCTCAGTATGTTTTTAAAATTTACTTCTATTTTCCAAGAAATCTCTGTGTCCTTAAGGAGACAGTGACAGTGAAGTGAGGATACTATCATTTGGGGGACACAACTTCTCCAGGACAGCCGGCTGCCTGTCTCATCAATGCCGATCACCATCTGGAAGCACAGCTCTTCACCCACCGTGCAGGAGATGCCACGTTCCATGCTGTGGAGCTGGAGAGAGAGGAGACTTCCACACTGACCACCAAAAGGCTAATGAAGCCACTCGCCTGCCTCGCACACTAACTCAAAGTGTGCCCCCTTTCCTTAGCTACTCCAGTGACCCCTAGGCGCCTGAAGATGCAACTCACTAGTTGATGAAATCCACTGCCTGTGTCTTCAGCTGGTCTGCGCTGTGGAGGTCAGCCAGGATGAGGATCTCTGCTGCGTTCTCCACTGAGAGGCTGCTGCACAGGGCGTCCTCACACATGACCTTCAGGCGCTCCAGGGCATACTGCAAGGCAGGGCAGCTGCGTCAGAGGGCAGAGCTGGGCAGACTGCACCCAAACCGTGTGCTTAGGGTGCCACTGTGTAACCGGACACTCACCAGAACCACACGCAGTACGAGCAGCTACCGCTGCAACAATAGCACATGACCAGTCTGTGAAGGAAGCCGCTACAGCCTGAAAGAGGGGCAGCTAAAACCACCCAGGGGCTGCCTTCCACCTCTAAGCCCACGCGTTAGAGAAGTGAGAGCGCGGCGGCAGAAGCCCACCCTAGGTCTAGGCATCTCCTGACCAGGGCTAAACTCTTCCTTAGACTGTCACCCTCACCCTCAGCCATGGTGGCGGCCTGCTGCAGGGGACAGAACACTGTAAGCTTCCCGCACCCCTTTGTTAAGGAGACTAGGTGAAGCACAGTCCTTCCTACTTGGGCTTTGTCACTGCCCAGCAGGGCATCCCAACGGACCCTCAGGTGCTGAAAAGGAGCCCTGTGGTGACTTTCACCAGCATCACTGCCACTCAGCCTCCCTGAGTGAGGGCAGCTGGGGGCCTCCTTTCCCATAGGAAAAGATAAACAACATTCTACTTTACTGGGGTTAAGGTCAAGCTTCTGGGAATAAAAGAATACAGCACCAGAGACCCTGGAAACTTTTATTTTCTAAGGAAAGGGCAAAGATGTCCTGGAAACAGAATGACTAGGTTACTGCTAGGCATGTTTGCCTAGCAGACTGGGTTTGATGTAATGCTACTACTGGTTCTCTGGTATGAGATTAGGAACTTACTAAGAAACTTCAGGGCTAAGGAAGAGGAAGGAAATAAAAGACCACACAAAATAAAAATGGCATTCATCAGTTCACAGGACAGCAGATGCTCTGAGGCCCCCTCAGCCTCCGCACGGGTGCGTCGGGAGTGCCTGGGCGGCAGGGCTCTCCCGGGGCCTGGCTGGGGGCCTTTCTGTTGGCACTCAATCGCCTGCAGCCAAAGGAGAGTTGTATTGGTTGTGGTGTAGCTTTAATTTTTTACATTTGAGTAATAGGAAAGCAGTTTCCATGGAACACAGCAATGACACTAGACAGGCAAGAAATGAGATTGCCGTTTCTGTGTTGGAAGCTGGAAAGGTTGTGTCAATGTTCCATCTTGAGACAGCGCTGCCCAGACTACTTCTCTTATCCTCTCTAATACGTTCTTTTAAAAGAACTTTCACTGTGAATAGCTCTGATCCCTACTGCATAATTAGACAAAAGTAGCCATTCTTGTCCCTTGTGGGACAAAGTTTTTTTCTTAATTATGCTTCTGGAAAACCTTCCTAATGGCAATACTTACCCGAGAGATTGAAATTGTGTCTCCCAGGCCTGGGCAACGTGTTTTGTTTTGTTTTTGGTCTAATTACACATATCCCCAGGAGACTGAAAAGCTCAGAAGACGCTGTTTCAGCCTCCTGAGAAAAGCCTAGGTGTTTAGATCCTTCTATGAAAGAATTCTTACTCTACTTCCCTAAAATGCACAGGGAAGGATAAAAGAAAAAATGTTTTCAAATAAGCTTAGAGCAAGGACTGGCAGGAAATTCCCAATGGGGCCTCAAAATGCACTCTTCAGATCTTCCTCATTCATAGATCGCAAGCCCTGCCGCCTGGGCTGCTCTAGTCCAGTGAGGGATCTGTCGGTGGAAGCCCTGCCCTGCCTCACCCCGCTCTACCCGCTGGCTCAAGCTGATCCCCAGCCCATTACAGTACTGGAGGAGACCCCAGATACACATGGAAGCCTAACCCTGGCTTGGGCCTCAGCGTTTCTAAGGTGGATCTTGCCATCTTATTTGTCCTTGTTTTTAAGACTTAACATAAGTTGTACACAGAAATCATTCATTAAAGTGTGACGCCATGGTGTCTGCACAAACCTGCGCTGTGGGGCGTTCTCACCTATGCTCTTACACTGACTCGGGTTTGGGAGATGGAACTTTATGACTGCCAAGTCTGCCTTGCACAGTAGTTTTAGCCACTAAAAGCTGGACTTGCTGATGGAGTCCTGCAGTAGTTTCAGTTACAGTTTCCTACCACAGCCTGTGCATTTTTCCTTAGGTGACTGAATGCTGAAGAAATTTGGATGCATAATTCATTTTTTTTGGTCTTTTTGAGACAGGGTCTCTCTACACAGGTCAGGCTGGCCTTGAGCTCACTTTGTAGCCCAGGCTGGTCTTGAACTCGAACTTGCAAGGATCCTCCTGCCTCAGCCTCCAGAGTGCTGGGATTACAGGCGTAAGCCACCACACCCAGCCAATAATTAATATTTTTATGAACTGCTGTATCCTGTTAGTCCTTCCTGACTCCTGCGTATCTTACCTGTACTGACCAAACCTAAATAAAGATTTTTATTGTAACACCTTAAAAATAAAGCACTATTTATCCTCAATGGAATCTGGAAGATGAGGGGAATAAGTAAATCTTTTATGTGTACAAGTGACCACTTTGTTGAAAACCAGAGGGCAGGGCAGACAAAACCATATGAACTATAAGAAAAGCAGGCACCAGGCTGCCTCTTTTTTTTTGTCTTTTTCGTTTTTATTGGTACCGGGGATCGAACTCATGACTGCCTGCTTGCAAGGCAGGTGCTTATGCCGCTGAGCTAAATATCCCCAGCCCCT